TTTGACATTTAATATTTTTCTATAAATACTTCAAATTTTGGAAACATGTGTATTTGACCTAGACACCCACACACACAAAAGCAAAAGATAAATCAACCAAAACAATCGAACCATTTTCACTAAGAAGAGTGGGTGTATTTGACCATTTTATTTTAGGTTTGTATTATGAGAATATTTATTTATGTAACAAGGAGATTACAATTGCTATTAGCACCCAATTTGAAATCTAAACAATATGAGCAATTGTAACCTCTTTGTATTGAAAGTAAATAGTTTCTTGGTATATTTTTCCTTACATTTTATGTTTTCTTTTATCCAGATACACAATTTCAGGGACACATGCCCCTAAAGTTTCGGATTCGTAGAATTTATAAGAAAAAATCCAAAGCCCAGAGGCCTCTCTCTCTCTTCACAGGCCCAATTATCGTGCATCTTTTTCTTTCCACACTAGAAGTTCAAGATCATGATCTCTCTCTCTCTCTCTCTTTGAACCTAGAAACTATTTGTATTTGAGTGTGAGCGAGAAAATACAAGTACAAACTTGACTTGGACATGAGAGCGAGTCGAGTTATTTTTCGGGGTCGGGTTCAATTTAACTTTGATCTTTTAAAGCCAGTGTTTCGAAACCTAGATCATGGGGATAAATGATAGACTAGAGTCCTTGAACAAACATAAATAGTGGATATTAGATATGACCGTATGAGTAGCATATTACAGACGCTTATCAAATATGGATAATTAGTAATAGTCTTGCTTAAACTAGGACTTGCCTTGAAACCAGACAACTCATCTCCACCATCAGTAGATAAGTACAGAGGGTAGATGTCACGTCGGGGCCCAAATTATATACACCTGCATTTATGCATCATATCATCCCTTCCATATTCTCTTATTTGTGAGGGAGCATATTTTGCATAAAAAATTGTGTGTTGTCCATATAGAAACTGGGCTGATGCATAGCCCACATGAGACACATTAGGGGTATGGCGTATTTTCTCAAGTGACATATGCTGAATAAGGACAAAGTTGGAAGTAGTGAGAAAAAATAAGGGGTTCATGACCTCACTGAAGATATGACACTTAGAACGATTGACCAAGATTCATACAGCCGACCCCAATTAATTGGAAAAAAACTATTATGATAATGATGACATATGCTGATGATAAATCAACAATCACTTTGAAACTATAAAAAGACATAGAAATAAACAATTTATCCACTATAATTTGGCACTTCAAATTTCAACCATTAAAAATGAAGCCTATAGGGATTTCCCATTATCATGGGGAAAGTGTAGTGTCCACATAATGTGGATTCTTCTATTAATTGAATGCGACTAGATAAGCAAAATGCTTGGGAAATGCAAGGAATCTCCTAGTGGGGATTTTAAGAAGATGTATGGTTCAAGGAGATCAATTGAAGATTTCTCGAGTTATAAATCATCGTCATAATCTTTTTTCAACTATTTGAGGTATGCTATACGAATCCTAGTCTTTCATTCTACTATATCAAAAGCTATACTTTCAGTAAGGTCATAAGTTTCTATAGTTTTTCTCACTACGTCTAACGATGTCCATTAGGGCCTACCCCTTACATTTTTTTAGCTCTTTACTTGAACCAACGTGTACCTCCCACCAAATATTGTTTTGGATTTGTACTGCACATGCCAAGCCCACCTAAGTCTACATCTTCTCATCTCATCGCCTATTAGAGTCACATCTATGTCTTCTATAATGTATACATTTTGAATTCTATCATTTCTTATCTTTTAACTCATCCATCTCAACAACTTCATCTCAGCTACACTTATCCTCAAGTTACATTCCAACTTCTAAAAATCCCTGTGTTATTTAAATTAGTACAAAAAATTAGGTCTGCCAATAGGCCTCACTCATGTAATATTTACACATATAAGTTGGGCCCTTCATGCTATCGATGTTGGAACCCTAGTTTTTCCTCAAGAATAGCCACAAAGAATATCAAAAGAAACGAGGAATACAAGTGGAGAGAAAGAGAGAGGGATTACAATGTAACCCCTTTTTTCTTTCATCTTGATTAGTCAATCTAACGGTTTTAAAGTTGTTTGTGCATGCATTTAAGCGTGGGCCCCAAATTTATACTTCATTAAAATTATTGAAAACAATAGTAGGTTTATCAATAACTCATACAAAGACCAAGTTAGCGAATATGAAAACCATACGGTAAGATTGTTTACCTTCAATTAAAAATCACAATCATCTTTAATCATCATATCTAAATCACAATCATCTCTAACCATCATATCTAAAATTGGCCGGCAGGTCCATACCATTAAAAAGACAGGAAGTTCGATAAAATCTCTTTAAATTTTATATAGAGAAATGACGTAAACGTGTGATAGCTTCCGGCGTTTCTGACCTTTGGATACAAAACAGTAACGGCCTTGTTGTAGGGTAATTCTTGAAGGCATCCAATGCCACTTCCCTCTAAAGCTTTGAACTAGTGATTTAAAAAATGCCGGGTTAACTTGGAATCACTCGGTTCGATCTGAGAACTGGTCACCCCATTCCGGTTCTGCATATATATAAAAAAACGGTTGAATCTAGAAAAGAACCAACAGTTCCGTATAGTAAAACAACAATTCTCTACAGTAAAACAACAATCCAGACCAGTTTTTAGTCGATTCACTGTTTTTTCGATACAATAAAATGGCGATCCGGACTGTCGATTCACCGTTCCGGACCAATTTTTGGGATGCCTGATCCACATCACTGATCCATTTTTTAAATCACTGCTCTACATTAAAACAGAGATCCAGACCGATTTTTGATCAATTCACTATTTTTTTCGTAGAGTACAATGACAATCCCTACCACCGATTCACCGATTCAAACAAGTTTTTGGGGTGCCCAATCCAAATCACCTATCCGTTTTTTAAATTACTGGTATAACGCTTTAATCTTAAACAAACAAAGTTAGGCACAACTTCAAACTCCGTTGAAAGATGCAATGCTGGAAAATCAAACTAGTTTGAAAATCTATTTTATAAAATTTAAAACTTCAAAAAATAGGACATATCAAGTAGATCTAAAAATACTTGAAAATTTTGGAAATGGTGTGTAGATGATTTACAAGAAGCATTAATTTTACGACTTGAAATAATTTTTTGTTAGAGGTCGAGGGTTTTGAGATGCGCCGAACTTCTACACCATAAGGTCCACATCTTATATAAACTTTCCTTACAACAAAATGTCATTTTAATCCCATTTGAATTTCCTTGGTGACTGAAATTTATCTCGGATTAATAATACTAAACCATATTTTGATTTTCTAAACCAACAACCATCTTCTAAGCCTTTGCATCTTGTCTTGCCCTTACTTATTTGGTGGTACGGAAAAGGATGATATACACTGGGGGTGGCAATGGATCCGGACTTGACTTGGGACCTGAAAGGTAGACCTGACCCAGGTTTGGGTATAGGTTCAAAAATTGAACCCGATGGATCGGGTCTAGGTCCAAATCTTGGACCCAAACACTATTCGGATCTGGGTCCAAGTCCTACATATATTTTCGAGTCCTACTTTAGGAAAAATAGTTAAATATATATAAATACATATATATTTTATTTTTGGGTCGGGTCCGGACCCGGGTCTAGATCCCACATTATATTTTCGGGTCCAGGTCCAAATCCATGTCTGGGTCCAGGGACTTCGGGTCGGGTCGGGTCGGGTTGGGTCCGGGTCATAGACGACGGAGATAGACTTAAGGTTCAACTTTCCTCCTTTTAAAATATCAGTTATGAGATCACCATTTCTCCCTCCCCTTAAAATGGGTACCCTATACCAATTAAATTTGAAATTGCATGAAAAAGAGAGAGAGAGAAACATGAATAGGTTTTTTTTAAGCTGAGAGAGACATGAATAGTTACTGATTCAAATTGAAATGAATTGGACGAAATGTGAAGAAGAGAAAACCAAGATAGTATGTTAAAAAAAAAAAATTCCTCAACGTACTTCTAATTATATAATATTTTTTTCTTTTTCTTTTCAATTTTTATGTGGAAGTCAAGAGTTTCAAGTTGGTGCTTCTACAAAATAAAGCTGGAAAAATGGCAACTTTTTGCACTTAGCATGCTTAGTATGGTTCCTCTCATAAGGTTTTAAATGGGAATTTTTTTTTATTAAAGATAGATTAGAAATGCATTACTTATTGGGTGTGGTTTGCATAAGGTTGCAACCTAAAACAATCACCTCTAAATTTTATCATAAATGTAATTTTGGTGTCAAAATCTTTTAGGATGGCTTGAGAATCTATTTTTATCTCTACTTACAAAATTGTAAACCCTAAAAATAGTTCAAATTAAGTAGATCTATAAACACATGAAAATCTTAGAATTCGACGGTCCAGATAATGCGTTGCAAGATACACTATTTCTCGAACTCAATATTTTTTTTTTTTCTTTTCATATTCATACATCTAAATGTCGAGATGATCAATTAGAGGGTTTTCCAATATTAAAACAACATTTTATGATGGATTTTTGAGGTGCACCTTGAGTCTACATTTTAAGGATACAACTTTATATAAACTTTTTCCTTAGTAAAACTAATGTGTATAGACGTGCCTCACCATATTCAGATTTCCTAGACTAAAATTCTAGACAAATGTGTACAGTTTTCCTTTTATCTCTAGTCTAGTTTTACAGTCAGATAAAGGCGGTGATTTGACTATGATATACAATGAAAGGCGATTTGTTTTATTAGTGAGCATTTTTGTAGTGAACATTTTTGCTTCACTTGAGCTTGCTTAGATGTAGGTATGGCTATCTAATCTTCCACTTCAAAGGGGCATGGTAGCTGCCCCTCAAATCCCCACCAGAGCTCATCAGACATAACTAGTGAACACTAAAGTGGCAGTGCATTACCATTACATGTTCTAGACAGTCAACAATCCAGTGTTTAAACTCCTAGACTCACCCAGGGGTCCCCAGCCCAATCCTGGACGTCCAACTTGGCCAAGTCATAAAATGAAAATTCATAAACTACTTGGATTCTGGTTACATTTGCCATTATTTTAGGGTTAGGCATTTGGATCCGGCACCCTACCAGGCCCAAATCACTCGGGTGAATCCAATCCAGAGTCAGCATTTTGTGAAACACTGGTTAAATCCATGCGGCCACTCTAGTACATGTTTCAAACTCAAAACAGCAGCAGGGTGTGTTATACCCTGGGCTCTGTCCCCAAATAGAAAATTTTCCATCTGCAACAATCAACATAGCCAAGAACCTCTAGGATTATGAATTTAAGAGGATCTCATTCTTCCAATTTTATACTTCCTCAACTCAAAAGTAGTTTCAAAGTCATATAAATCCATTTACCTTATGCTGCTCTCCACATGTTATGTTTGAAAATCATCATTATCATTATCATAGCCTATTTCCAACTATTTGGGGTCAGCTACATGAATCCTGATCCGTCATTCTGCTTTAGCATGGGCTATAACGTCAATGAGAGTATAAGTCACCATATCTTTTCTCTCACTGCTTCCAACCATGTCCTTTTGAACCGACCTTTTGCCCTTTTTTAACCAAGCCATGAATCTTTCATATTTGCCTCTAAGATCATAAATCCAAGCTTCTATATGCCTTTAGGAATGATTCTTTCATATTTGTTTCTCCATGCTTTGAGAACTCTCAGCTATCCAAAGCCTATGTGAGAGAAACAACGAGAATCTTATGAAAGCAGTTAATAAACATTTCCCGAGACAATTAATCTACAAAGTAGTCTAAGTGATGGATATATACATAAGCATTGTAAGCAAATGATTTAAAACTAGGGCCTCAAGGTGCCCACTTGGCATGTTTATGATCTACTTGAAAACCCCAAAGACTCAACTAACACCACAGAAAGTGTATGAATAGGGATTCTATACTATAAGTATGTTTACCTTTCCTACAAGAGGGCACTAATTACTCTTAGCTGTCAAATATGAAATCAAGCCGTTAGAGGTGTGCCAATTCTTGACACAAATTTCAAAAAAAAATATTCTCAGATTTTGATCGCTGTCAATGGCAAAACCACCTGATTTCACATTTGATAGTCAGAGGTGATTATAACCTTCTTGTATTAAAAGTAAATAATCTTATTATATACTTTCCTTTACAAATATACATATATAAGTGCTAGAAATTCATGTATAAACAAAGTGACCATAAAAGAAAGTGTAGAACAACGGCGGAAGAGTAATGTCCCCCGCATTTAATTGGATAAACCCAACCTAAGCAAATGAGTGATGCTACTCCTTGTCATCAGAATTGGGAAATGCTGATGTAGATGTCCACTTGTATATGGCTTGTAAACAGACTAACAATATACAATCCCCTTATCAAATTACGAATTTTAAATGCAACTACAACCAGTAGATGGAACAATTGAAGAGCTACATTGGCCGGTTAATACGGACCAATAGAAAGAAATAGATCATCATTATCATCATAGCCTTTTTCCAATTAATTGCGGTCGGCTAATAAAAAGAAACATATAAGATATCCAATACACCAATTAGACAACTGAGAGAAAATATAGAACAACAATCGAACAATCGATCCATTAAAAAATATATAGGAAACCAAAGCGGTAGAAAGCAAGATTCAAGCAGGTGAGAAAGGCCGAAACAAAGACAACCCACCAAGCCATGAACAATGCAGCTACAGGGGCAAAAGATGCAAAGCCATGCAAGAGAGGGAAGGCAGGAGAGATGCTACCTTTGATTTCAGACAAGCCAAGAGAGAGAAGCACCAGCATAGGAGGTATGGATAACTGAAGCACTACATAGCATATGTAGTGATTGTGCAAGAAGATCTTGGCCCTGCTAAAATCCAAGTCCGGGACCTTGCTTGAATGCAACCTCTGGTACCAAGATAAAACCCCCTCGTCCAAAAACATTTGCACGTTCGTCCTCAGCAATAGCAGCTGCAAGATTGCAGAAGCCAACAAACAAATCACCCTGAACCTACCATAACTTGATGGCGGCATCCCCAAATTTTGCAGAAAACTCTCTCTCCTCATAGTTACGTGAACCCCACTATTCCCTTCTCCATGACTCTCTCTCTCTACCTTCCCAGTCTTTGCAAAATTCACAGTCGTAGCCATTTCTCCTATCTCCTTGTCTGAATCCCACACCTCATTTGTCGGAAACCCATGGATTTTGTCATTATCGCCATCGCCATCGCCAGCATTGCTCCCATAGCTCCCCTCGCTTTCCCTCTCTACGTCCTCAGGTTTCCCGAAATTCAAACAGCCATCCATCCTACCATTCTCCTTATCAGAACACCTTTCATCGAAACCGAACTCTCTACTATCCAAGTGAGAAATGCCAATCTTCTCAGGAGAACCAGAGTTGTTATTGTTCTTAACAAGCACATCAGCCATGGGATTAATCCAAAGCACAGATGTAAAGATGGTCATCAAGAAACTAATATACAGCAACACTCGAGGAAGCTTTCGGCAAGCAACTACAGATAAATTCCAATGTAATTGATCTGTACCCATCCAAAAAGATCTAGTATACTTGAGAGAAGGAGGAAAGAGACTGCCACAAATACATCCAGCATATAAAGCCAATAAAAACTTTGCAAATCCCATTCCCCAACTCCCTGAAACCCTCTCATTTTTAAAGATCTCTTCATCGCCCAAGGACCAAAAATTGAAATCTACAAATCTGGGTGAGAGAACCCAAATTATCAAAAGAGCCAAAATAAACCCTAAAATCCCTGACAAAATGCTTAGTTGCTTCTCTGATCTCTTTGAAGCCGACCTTTCTGAAGATAACTTAAGGAGCAAGAGGGATAGCTTAAATAAGGCAAACAGTCCTAAAAGAATTGGCACGATTGAGCCATTTAAGAAAAATGGGGCAAGCTTATCTCCCTTCGAATCATCAGACAATGGGAGGAACCGATGGACCAGAAGACTCGAAAGCCCTAAAAATGAGTAAAGCACAGATTCTTGATACTCTGTGAAGTAAACCCTAGTTTGAAGGTGACCATCGACTAATCTTAACCGAAAAATCTGAGCATTGTTCTCATCGAATTCGAAATTCTCTTTGCCCCGGTCCTTTTTTTTCCTCGTATTCTGAGATGATCTCTGATCTAAATTGGGTTCTGCGTTATTTGATGAAGAGAGATTTTTATAACCATCTAAATTTGAGTTCCCCTTCTCAGTTCCAGGACTTCTAATGGCTGCCCTAACATTACCTTGACCTCCACCTCCAACATTATCAGGATGTATATACGTGTGTATCCCTTCTAAAACCCTAACTGGAAGCCTAGATACATTAACCAGGAAACTAGTGGCCACTGAAACTGCTGCATAAACAACCAAGCTCCAGTATGGAAACACAGCTAGCATTCTCTCTCTCTAGAAAAACACCCAAGATTTCATCATATCAAATTGAATGAGAAAAACCGATGCCAACGCTCTCTTTCTCTCTCTAGAAAATAACCAATGTTTAATCAAATCAAAATGAATGAGAGAAACCCATGATCAAATGGAATCTCTCTCTCTCTCTCTCTCTCTCTCTCTAACAAGAAACAAAATCAAGACAGAATCCAGGAGAGTTTAGACTTACTGGATCTGGCCACCAGTTTCGAAATAAATGTTTCTTCTCTTTTTTGGATTTTTGCCATCTAAAGCCTTCAAGAACCCGAGGAGTGAGAAGAAAGCCATAGTGACCAAAATAGCCATGATTTTTTCTTTTTATTGCCAGAGTGCTGTTACCCGATTAATTGAGAAAAATATACGATATTGCCAGAGTACTATTACCCGATTAATTGAAAAAAAGGATACGATGATTGATTGCTGTTAGGGATTAAAGCGGTTAGACCCGTCCAACGCGCACCAAAATTTCAAAGAGAATGAAAGCATGATAGCACAAGTATCAGCTGGAGGTGGCAATGGACCTGGACCCGAGGGTAGACCCAATCTGGGTCGGGGTATGGGTCTAAAGTTGGACCGGTGGGTCCAAATTTTGGTCCGGACGACTATTATGGTTTGGGTCCAATCGAGTATGGGTTCGGGTCCAATCCGGTGATATTTTGAGTCCTAATACATGAAATATCGTTAAATATATAGATATTTTAATTTTTTGGGTCAGATCCGAGTCCCCGATCCGGACACAACCTTCACCCTAATATCGGCTAAAATATTATCTCAACGTTTTAAAACCGAGCGGTTTACATCTAGACCACTGGTTTGGATGTGTAACGGATTCCTTCCAACCTCCGTTTATATTATTTTGGCCTTCGTTTAAGCTTATTTCATGTTTTTCTAAGATCCTCACTATATTACTACCTTATAGACCCTTATTTTTATTTTTTATTTTACTTTGTTTATTTTTTTATTTTATTTTTTTGGTTCTCCGGTTTGAATCAATCTAAACACGACCCATATCGCCAATCTAGAGAACATCGCCGATCTAGAGAACAACACATATATGTGGATGAATGGTTCTCCCCAAAGGTCTGGGTTATGAAACACTAATATTGCCTCAATTTTATGAGAGATATATAAATGGATTTGTTACAAAGAGACGTTTTATTTTTTGTTCAAGGAGGTCATAACTATTCTCACTCATTAGATGCATGGCTTGAAGTGAGTCACGAAGAGAATTATTTTTTAAAACTTTGTGTATATAGTGACACTATTACAAGCACCCATTTTGAAATCTAATGGGCAAAAATGATTGTGATCACCTTGTACAAAAGATAAATAGCATTTTTATAGACAATCCCATATATAAGGGAAAGATGTAGTTTCCATAAGCCCTAGGCCTTTTGGAAAGAAATAAATCCTCACATCGAAACCTCATATGGAAAACACTTTAGGCATAAGAAATATCTTTGATGGCTCTAAAATTAGTTGTTACCACCGATTATGATTATAGCTCAAAAAATGGTACAGATCTTGCGAATTTGTGAACACCTTAAAATGGATGGTCTAGATATGTTACAATAAACATTATTTTTAAAACTTAAAATCCTAATTCTTTTCCGGCGTGAAATTGTTTCTGTTAGTTTTGAGGGGAGGCTTTATTTCAGTCCTATAAAAAAAAGAAAAAAAGGAAAAAAAGAAAAGAAAAGAGACCCGTACATTATAACTAGCTAATAACACATGCCTTGGATGATATTTACGAGAAATTTAGATGAAAAATAAACATTTGACCCATGTAATTCGAATGAGAAAAATAACTATATATTTGTTTTATTTTATTTATTTTTAAATCCCTTTATTTAATTCCTCAGAATTAATGTCTTCACAATATGATTTATTTAATTTATTTTGCAGTATTTGTCTAACATACTGAATGGACATATAGGCATTTAATCTATCATAATTAAGGGATTTATAGTCAAATTATTTTTAGAGAAAATTATACTAATATCCGTTATAATATGTGTTATTACGGATACACCTTTGAGTTTCCGTTATTACTAGGATGTCCGTTTTTTCTCTTTCATAACGATATTTTTTAAAAAAGACGACTTTACTCATTTTCAGGAGTTGAAGATCCGAATTAAAAAAAAATTCGGTTGTTCAACAACCGAAAACAAGAATAGCTGTTTTAACCTTCCCACGCTGGTTTCGGTTGTTCAACAACCGAAATTAGTGTTTTCGGGTGTTGAACAACCGAAAATCTAATTTCGGTTGTTCAACATTTGAAATTATACGGGACTCATTTTAAAAAAGAACTGGTACTGTTCTTGGGCTGCACCGGTCCGAGAACATCCGAAATTATTCAATCCCCTTATTTTTCACTCTTTCTTATATATCTGACTACTGAAATCACTATTTAGATCTGGATAAAAGCATTTTGACAGATCATAACGGCATTTGACGCATTTTGAGGGAATTTAGCGGATTTCTAATTTGTACTGAAGGCATGAATTATTTGGGGTTTTTGTAACTGTAATTTTGGGGTTAAGTTTGGGTTTTTTTATATTTTTGAATGATATACATGAGTTATTGAGTTATGTTTTCTTATTATTTATTGTTTAAGAAATTGTTTATTTGGGGTTATTGAGAACTTCAAATTTTGGGGTTTTTATTAGAACTCGAAATCAATAACTTAGTATGGTTAAATGTGTTGTTATGCCAATGGCTGTGACAATATATTTTGATTTTTACAGGTGATTTCTATTATTTTTTTAAGCTTTTGGAAGTTGTTTGTATCATTTTACGTTTTGGGGATTTGGTTTTTCAATTGTTGAATGGGTTTGTGTTTTGTGACTGTATTCAAATGAATCCATCTATAAATTGAAATATATAGCTTAATGTAGCACCCTCTGCTATCATTGAAAATATATGACTTATGCTATGTTGGACTTGTAATTTCAAATTTAGTAGCTTTATACAGATATTTGTATGTTTCTTTGTGTTGTTGGATGTTGTTGTTTGTATTTTGTTATAAATAACATTTGAGTTATAATAAAAGCAAAAAACAATAGTTGTTTTTATTTCTTTCCCTTTTAACGAATCTTTTAGTTATATGAAATGGAGTTATAATGAATGGGTGTGGGTTTTGTAATTCAAAATTTCTTATAGCATAAATTTTGAATAGGTACAAAGATGGTACATAGATGAATAGGTACACTGTCTTGGTTATCATATAAGAACAAAAAAATTTCACACAATACTTCATGCCCATTCCATTGTTAGTGATATATGATTTACTGATATATGGATTACATACGAGCCCATTCCATTGTTAGTGATATATGATTTACTGATATATGGATTACATACAAATTGTAGATGTGTCAGTAACTCTATTTATAGTACGATATGTAAATTTATTATCGCATTCTTGTCTCAAAGTAGTATTGTACATATAAATGCAGGATGCAATTTTAATATGCATGATGAGTTATTGTTGTCTGGATTTCAATTAATATGAGTGGTATCCATCCCAAAGTGGGATACCCAGGAGGTCCTCAGGACCCCAGCTTGCTACAGCTTCATCAAGAGCATTCATCATATTACATATGGGAAGGACAGTTATATGAATTTATTCATCTGCTCTTTCCATAAGTTTGTTATTTTCTAATAAATTGTAGCGTGTTTCAATTTCATATGGGAAGTACATGTGTATATATAATGTGACTCGTATGTGTTATATTTGTTATATTTCAAGAAAAACAAGAAATAAGAAATGAGAAGACATTTCAATTGAACGATTGGCATCTAACCGAAGAGCAAGTTCAATTAGTGAACGCGTCTGGGTTGGGTGCTCTGTCTATCATTCGACCAGGTCAAATTGATCATCATTTGGTTGCTGCCAATGAAGCGAGGTGGCACTCAGAGAACAATTCCTTCCATTATAGCATTCAAATTGGTGAGATGACACCAATTTTATTTGATGTGTATGAGATTTTGGGATTGGCTGTGGATGACGAGCTTGTTACATATTGTTCTATCTGTGATCTCCACAAGTTCATAGAGGATAATTTGGGTATAGTCCCTATGGGAGGCAACTTAACAATCATAAAGCATTTACGGTTGAAGGCTAATTTTAGGGGATTGCCACCTAAATTCCAAAATTCAGTTGTTCAACATCCGAAATTTCCAGAATTTCGGTTGTTGAACAACCGAAATCACAATTTTAATTAAAACTTCTTATATTACAGTGGATTTTCATTGAATGCCCTTTTGTTTCAATGCTCATTTATGTTCTATCGCTCTTTTATCTTCTACTGGAATTATATTACAATGAATTATATACCAGATTCAGATCAACACCTAAATCACTCATTCACACTAACACCAAGTACAACACAAGATTGATGGCACCAAAATCACTCATTTCATTAATTCATCAAATTGTTAATTGCATACAAAAATACAAGATTGATAACAAATAATTCAATCTATCGGTTCTCTGCATGTTCTCCTATTATGACCCACTATACCGCATCGTTTGCATTTCATAGGCCTGGTGATGGGCTGCTTAGTCTCGGATCTTTTTCGTTGCTCTTTTGATCTACTGGGAAGACGTGTCATATTTGGTGACAACACTGTACAGTTGAACAAACCTGTGAACTTAATATCATCTGAGACATGCCCAAAGGGAGTTTGAAAGGCCCTTTTAAATATTTCTACTGTAAAATACTGAAGGCAGTATGCAATGGCATCCAAATGCATATGGTTAATAGCCGCAATCGCATTAGTACAGGGTATGCCACTGAGTTGCCATTTTCTACAACTACATGTCCAATGAGTTAAATCGACAGCGTGCTTCTTTTCAAGATAGTGGATCTCAAGCTGTGTATCCATGACGAATATAATTGTGTGTAAAACTTTAGCATTCATCTTTCGCAAGTCTAGTAATTCTTGGGCTTTTGGTACTAGCAGGCCGCTCCAACTATTACCTAACTCCCTCTTCTCTTCAAACCTGGTAATCAATTGTACCATTATTTTTTCACAATTGTAATGATCAGCTTCTCTCGAGCCGACATTATCCAAGCATTGAATGACTCGGCTATGTTAGAGGTAAGATGATTGTATCTTGTCCCTGAAAAATAGGCATCTGCCCAATATTTGGAAGGGATATTTTTAATCCACTCATATGCTTCAGGGTCGGCACACTATATGTCAAACATAATTTTTTCAAACCCATTAATGGTCGCTTTA